TTCCTTCAGCCAGGCGCAGCCTCCGCTGCCGCGGGGCCCCTCCGCCGCGGGGCTGGGCGGGGGCAGAGCAGGTCTGGGAGATCACCGCTAGCGCTTCTTCCTGCAAAACAAACAAGAAAATAAAAGAATTAAGATGGGGAGAGTTATATCTGACCAGAGGGGAGGGAGAGGAGGCAGCAAAATGCAAGAAAATGTCACTAAAAATTCACACAGGTGCCCCTACCCACACCGAGTAACCTCCAAAGTTGGGCTCCTTCCAAAAGGGGCCATTTCTCACCCCTGGGTACAGGCACAGCCCATTTGCTACAGTGCAATTACAAGATACACACTTCATTGCACCTCAAACTTTTAACCTTTTAATTGAACTTCATCCATTTAAAAAAGAAAAAAAAAACAAAACAAAAAACCACCCCAAGAAGCACACTTTCCCTCCCCAGGTAATCGCTCAGGCTTTTTCAGACCTCAAATGCAATGAGAGCACATTTTTCCAGTCGTGCTGATTTTTCACATCTTCACCATATAAACATAAAGGAGGGAAGTGGAATTCTCACTGAAAAGAGCCTGTAGCTCTTATTTCCCCAGCTATCACAGATTCCCTGGGAAGACACGCTCCTGAAGCTTGGAGTTTACCTGTATAACTTAAGCCCGCCCTCTAACGAAGCCAGGCTGACAGGGGAAGTTGGTATTTTAATTAGAATAACTGATGCAGGTGGAATAAACAAACTGTCAGGTAACACAAGCTTCTCCCACCCCTTGAGGAGCTTTTTCTCCTCCCCTACTACAGCAACAGCTTTTATAAAAGGGATTCAAACCTTCCCATCAAGCCTCTTGCAAGGCAGATCCTTTGATTCCTACACCTGCAACAGTACTACTACTACATGGAAAACCACCACTGTAGCTTTGGTCACCTGTATCAGCATAACATAACTGAAAACTTTTTTTTTTTTAAGGCAAAAATACATTCTCAGGTAGAAGACAGCCTCCCCACCAGCCCGGCAAAGCAGACCGGAGAGTGCTCCATCTCATGGAGAGTAAACTATTTCCACAGACAGCTTCCTGAAATGCAAAGGACAGAGAAAATACAGCAAAAGAAGTTTAAAAATCCACAGCTCCCATCGTCTCGGCACACTTTTATCCAAGATACTGTTTGCTACTTACGCAAGAGGAGGTACGTGCTTTGTTCGGCCAGGCCTTGGGCTATCAGCAAATTGCTCACACTAGACTGTAACAAGAACACAGCCTTCAAATCGTTTCCAGTCTAACAGGAATCGGATGAGGAGTCTGTCACAGGTTAAATAATATTATATTAGACCCAGATGCCAACTTCATCACACCTGGGAATAAGTGCCTCTACGTACTTTTAAATGTTCTGCTTATTTTTTAAGTAAGTTTGGTATGAATATGCTTTATTCACAATTTGACAATGTGGTTAGCCTCTTCACAATCACATTTAAAGTGCTGAGTTTGTAGCACTTACAAGTCTCTCAAATCTGCATTTTCTCATTTTCACCTGGAGGTAAAAAGGAACACTTTAAAAACCAGCAATAGCTGGTACTGCTGAACCTGTATGTGCACCAGAAACAAAAATAGAGACATTTTCTGTTATTTTGACCATGGGGACGGAAACAATCTTGGACATTTAGCTGGTCCATCTCCCTGCTGATGGAAAACTGAGAACAAACAACACTCCACGGCTGCTCCGGCCACTCCCATTAAAGTCAGCTAAATAGCCCTTCTAAACCATTTTGGCTGGGGTCAGAGGTTGGCTTTGGCTACTGTTGTTCCTGAACCAAGCCCACCCTCATTCCCTGGAAATAGGATGTTAAGTCATAGCTCTAGAGAGGTCTCAGAGGGATTTGGCATACTGTATCCACCACCTGGTTGTAGCCAACTTCTTTTTAAGCCATGAAGTTAATTCCCACCCAATCCTTTTTCCTTGCCTGCTCGGAGCCTCTTTCCTAAGCACAGTCAGTCTGTTTCGACATCAGCATCTTCAGCATTTGGGTTTTCCCCACACAGGCTGCTCAGAAGGAATCACAGAACCCGATGAAGCTTTCGAGCATCTTTTTTGTCTTTACGGCAAGGCTGACACCACCTTGCTTTAGCTCTCTGGAAGCCAACAGCAGATACATCAAAACCAGCACGGCAAGGTGGGGAAAAGACAAAATGCTATCATCAAGGAGGCAGTGGGGAATATCTCTGCCACCACTTGGCACAGGGCTCCCTTCTACACCAGGAATAATCCTCTCCCTACAGAAAGCAAGGCTCCCCTTATGGGACAGCAGAGGAAATCTCAACAGAAGATTCACTACTGTGAAGCCATGGAAAGAATTCAAGTGCAGGCTGACTTAACAGGACTGAAATGGTTTGCCTGGGCCAATTCATGAGGAGGCAAACAGAACCAGAGGCTCATTTTAGTTAACTTGTCACCAAAACAGGCCTGTAAAGCACCAAGCAGTGGAGACATGACAGGGTGCATGTATTCTCCATCATCAGGGGCAGGGAGAGGACACAGAGGGACGGCATTATCTTCCTCAGCAGCATTCACAGAACTGGAAAGGTTCACAGTACTCTGTCCTGCCCTCAGACAGGGCCAGCGGGGACGTAAAATCCTATAGCAGCCCTGCATCCCCGCTGCAGAACCACACCGAGTGAATTCCTCCGGGCAGCAGCTGTTCCCTCTAATAAGGTTAAAAATTGTCTTCCCAAGAACAACCCAGCACCTATGTCATGCAGACACCATACACAATCTTTCAAAGAAGTCCGCTCTCTTGTGCTCTAGTGCCTGTAGAAAGCCCTGGATTCTCTCTTCCCGCATGGCGGTGCATTTCTGCAACAGTGTCCGTCGGCGCCGAGAGTCTCCGTGGGACGCAAACCCCTCCTGCTGCAGCTTCTTTGTCACGTAAGCCTGATCCCTTTCCAACTCTTGTCGCCTCCTTTCCTCCGTGTAGGAGTCTCTGGCCTTCTAGAGTGAAAAGCAGCAGAGCGTTAGCATTTTACCAGGCCTTCCAGCTCATCTGTGCTGCAGATGCAAGGCAGCACAGCTTATGGAAGAAATAGCCTCTGCTTGGCCATCAATCTGCAGGTTAAATGAAGGGTGGCTCTGTGTGCGCCTCCTCCACTTCGAGGCAGCCTGCTTCATTGGTTATTAAAAAAAAGATATATATATATACAGGGATATCCTTCTGGACCTTCTCCCCAAGAGACAAGTCCGCTCACAGCATTAACTACTTGTTAAAATAGGTAAAGGTCATGACAGGTTGTGGAAAAACCCTCAGATATCAGAATCAGAGAGGAACAGCACACGAGAGGACTTTCAAACCACAGACGTGCACACCAGTGTCATCACAGAAACTTTGATCCTATTCACACGGCAGCTGAAAGGTTTTAGGGGATTCAGAACAATGATTTATGGGGCAATTCTTTGAGCTGACGATCAGGTATTGAGTTAATCAGCTTCAGTAAAAAAGCAAGAGTGGGCACAGCTTTCCCAAATGCCTGTGATCTAATAACATACCGGGCTCGAGACACAGCAGGATGGGCAGGAGAAAGGTAAAGGCAGGAGCTATCCTTGCCTACCCTTCAAGCATTTGAAATAGTTTTGCAGAACATCACTTTTTGATTTCTTCTTATAGCACATACCCTAGCCTGCAGCAAAACCACATCTGCATGCAGGAAGAGTAAGCTTTCATTTTTAAAAAGAGTCAAATTGGTCACTGTGACATAACCTGACACACACACACTCTTAGGGAGTGCTGGCCTTTCAAATGAGCAAGAAGAATAATTATTCTAATGAGAGCCTCTCTGTTCACCATACTTTCCCGGTGCCCAACACAGTAGTCTATGCTCTGGCACTGCAAATTAGCTTTTGTTGTGCTGGGAATGAGAGTAGAAATATCCCTAGCTACTGAAAGCCCACTGAATTGACAGCACTCCACTGCTGTAGCTCAGCTTATCGGAAATGCAAAGATCATCAGCCTGTTCAGCGTAAGACTCCCACCCTTGGACAAAGTGAAATTCTGTCTGTTCACCAGAAGAGACTCTGCATGTCTGCTTCCATAGGGCACATTTGCCAACCAACATCTGCATTCTCTCCCTCAGTCTACCACGTACCAAAAGCAGGTTAGAGCTCAACCTGGGACTAAGCAGTGAGCAAGCACCAGCCCGCAGACTCCCTTGAGCAGCAGGCTCACTGGAAAATGAAGATGGCTATTAAAGGTGATGCTGTTTGAGTTGATGGAAGGATCTTTTATCAAATGCCTCCAAATCAAGTTTTTTTTTTTTCCTGTACCTTGTCAAATCTTCCATCCAGCTGCTTAGCCACACCGTAACAGCCTCCAGTGTCCTGAACACAGCAGCGCTCTCCCACAGCGGGCACAGCTGCTGTCATACATTCTGGCTTCTTAGCAAGTCAAGCCCCTAGCCCCACCATTCTCAATGCCATGCAACCCTTCCACCAAGGTAACTTGTTTCAAGAGCTCCGGTTACTTTTGGCTTTCAAGATCACCCATTTCAAATGTGAAAAAAGCTTCCTCATCTCAGCAGTTCCTCTAAGTGAGGAGACCTCCCTTCTGCACAACTGGGCTGCATCCCTTAAAACAAGGGCAGCTTCATACACTGCTGACAAAGTGGGTTTCACAGCAAGAAAACTAACCAAGGAACAAATCTGGCCACTAAAAAACCTTGATGATGGCATAGCATGAACACACATAGAGCCACAAACAAGAACTAAGAAAGATGAGACTAGCTAGGAACAGAAGAAGCATTTGTTACCCATCAGAAATTAGCACTAGGAGGAAAATCAGAACAGTGACCTTACCGTTCATAATAGAGGCAAAGGTCAATCACAAACACTACTGCCTTTTTTGCTTTCCACTTCACACAGAAGGTGAATTGCCATTAGTTGTATTAATACAATGAACTGCTGGTAGGAAAAGGGCAGACTTGGGGCAGAAACAGGAATAAAAGATGCTAAGGATGTGGAGAACTTGGATGCTTCCAGGCTGACTGGACCTGATTAAATTCACCCGTAACCACAACAGTCTATAACCTCTTTGACAACTCTGAGGTGTGGAAGGTCCCTGAAGGTAGAAAAGGGCAATGTGATGCCTGTGAGGACCCAAGTAATTAAGGAACAGACACACTCAGAAGCCAGATATGGTGGAGGTAATAGTCACCACACCGAGTTCCTCCTCCTGCCAGTTACTGCTGTCTCTGTGCTACAAGCTGCTGCCCTGCCAGACTTCCCCATTCAAGAGCTCCAGCTCCCAGATTTGTTTTGCTTGAAAATAGCCAGATTACGAAGTCACTACTAAGTTGGCCAGATTTATCTGAACCAGGTCAGGGAGAGCTCACAACAAATTTAAGAGGAGAGGAACAATGAGAATGAGCAATAGGAACAAACTCTTCTGTAGGCACATCTGGACCCACCAGGAAGAGGATAGTTCTCCAGTCTCACAGCTCAGGCAGCCTCACTTCAGCTCCCAAGAAAGGAAAACTCTAAACCCACTTGTTACCACCCTAAAAACAACAGCAGAGTTAGAGGAAGAGCATGCAAACTCTCCCTGCTCATTCCAGAGCGAACTCAGAAGTCTTTGCTTAAACCACTGATGAAGTGGTTCGAGTTAAACTGGCTGGGTTTGCCCTGTAGCAGATCAGGAGTGCTTACTCATTTCATCCTGTCAGCTGAGGAGCAGGGACAGATACTTCCAGCTGGTGGAATGAACAATGAGTAAGAGAGACAGTGGTGACTTCAGATATTTCAGATATTCCCAAAAGCAGAGGAGTCTGTCCACATGCTAAGATGTTGTAACAAGCCATGTGGGTACAGGAGAAGCAACACATTAGCTGCTACTGAAACAAGATCTTAACTAACCTCACTAAATGAACAATTCCTCTCTTCCCACTTTATGCTCTCTCACCTGATCTCCAGCATGTTGCTCTGCAGGTAACGTGCTGTGTTGAATTTTCCATCTCCCTAAGGCTCCCTTACCTGTAAAGCACTGTAGTTCATCTGGAACCGAAGGATAGCCTCGCACAAATTCCAAAAGGAATATTCTGGCCACAAGACTGACTGAAACACCAGGCATGAATGGGATGTCTGCAGAAAGCAAGATCACCAACAATTTAATCATCTAGCAAGGGAAAAGTCATCAAGATGCAGCTCTGTTGGTCAAACTACACCGGTTTCCCCACAATGATTTTACCTAGGCTGCGTTATCAGATTCTACTTAAAATGAAATAAATACCAGCCAGGAGAGTTTGAAACTGCACAATGTAGAGCCCTTCTAATTAGTTTTTAATGCTGGGACATTAGTCACCCATCCCTGTAAAAATACCAGCAGAATTCTTTCTAATGCTATGTTGGTCTTCACAGAGGTATTTTTAATAGCTTAAGCATCACAGACTTATAACAAAACTAAAATAGCAACACTGGACTACCAAAGGCTGAGTTGGGGGAACAGCAGATGAACTGAGGATCAGGACATGACATTTAAGCCATTCATCAAATGACATCTCGTGATATTTCTTGCTGCCCACTCATGGCATTTAAAGTGCTTAACGAATCTAGGAGTTGTGGTGCGCTGAAGATATCCTAGAGCTGCAAGATGCAAGCTTTCAAGTTAAAATTTATTTTCGCCACCAAGTCCCTCAAAGTTTCAGGTAAATGTGTTCCTATGACCATCACTACAAATCTAACAATTAAAAGGACTCTGTGTGACTCTTAAAATTGTAATGATACAGAAAATTTTAGTGTCAATTCTATAAAAAAATACCGTAAGAACATTTTCTTTGACACCAGAGAATCATCCTGAATAGCACAATGCCCTCCTACTTTGGGGCTGCCAGGACACACATGGTTGCTAGCAAAGGGAAATTTGCACTAACGCTCTGGCACGTGAGCTGGCAGCGTGAGAGCACAAGCACGCGTTCTCCTCCGCTGCTTCTGCTGTAATCCATGGCACAGGAGAGGGGCATTGCGCCAGCCAGACTCACAGAGCACCGACTTCCCCAGTAACAAGCTCAGTCTCTGAGGCACCTCTGCCAGGGCTCACCACCAAGACGAGCAAGCAAAATGTTAGTTTGCAGCACTAACACCCATCCAGGGTATACGTGTGCCCAAAAATACAGGGAGGAGAGGGAGATGCCTTGGTAGGCAACCGCAACTCCGGCCAGACAACTTCTGTGAACTTGCCAATTAAATAAGTTGGGATAGGAACATTTGATGTGGTCACTTGAAGGCAATTGGGTTTTGGCTCCAAATTGTACATGTAAACCAAAATGTTAGCTTTAAGTAAAGCAGCCTGACTCAACTGTTCTGCAAAGTTTGGGTTACAAATCAGTCAATATTGCCTAGCACAGGAGAGAGACAACAGCAGCTTTGGATACTGTAGCTGGAAATACATGAACTATATGCGTTAAAAACTTGCTGTGTTTTAACTTAGCAGCCTAGTCACGCTGATTTGACTTTGCCATCCCTAGAACCTATCTTGCGAGGTCTTGTTTCATTATGAAAGTCAAATAAACTTCTGAAACTGTGACAAGTCAGGCATGTATGTTGCATGTACGTTATAGGGTTACACCTCCAATACCTACAGCTGACATGTGACAAACACCTCTCCCAGGAATCTAGAAATTCTTCCTGGGATTTCCTCATCCCAGGAAAGCACTGCCAGGTTAAATTAATCAAAGCCAGGAATTTACCAATTGAGGAATTACCTAAATGTGAAAAGAGGAGCAAAAGGATGAGTAATTCACGATTTCCTTGACTGCTGTCAGCTATAGTAATTTGTGATTTCTTATTAAGTGTTTTCAGAATGATACAATTTCAGACTTGTGCTGAAAGGTATTTTTAGGCAATCACAGAACAGCAAGAAACAGATTCCTCAGAGGTGCCCCAGCATTCAGTCCATCCAAGAAGTTACCCAACCCCTGGCAGAGGGAGTTTAAGAGCCTGCACGTCAGCTCACACCTGGAGTCAGCAGAACACTCTCCGATTCAAAGATGGAATATTTCAAGAAGAAAACAAAGACTTTACCTGCCATAGCAAGAAATCACTCAACCGAACCTCTCCAGAGGTTCGAATCAGGAGGTCTGGGTCAGGGGAGTTGTTGGTGTACAGACACTTATCGAGCAATGATTCAGACACATCACTAAGAAAGACAGATGCATCTTATTAAGATCACTTTCCTGAGGTGGCACTACTAAATCAGAATTACTAGAGGGGTTTTTTTTATGAACACAGGACTGCAGATTAAAACTGGGTGGTGGAGCTGTACCACAGCCAGTCATCAACTTGCTTCTGAAGGACACTGCTGTCTGCTCCCCAGGGTATTTCAAATGCTCTTTCAGCCCCCAGGCATCTCCCCCATGCTCTTTGAAACATAATACAGAGGTGGAACCAGACTGTGAAGACTTCTATCTGGAGCAGAGTGCTAACTACTCCATCTCCTCCAGGGTGGAGGAACAGTTCAGTATTCGTGATTCATCTGTTGTTTGACCTCGTAGCTAAGACTGCCAGCCAAGCAGCCAATTGTTGTGGCATAAAATCTGCCTTCACATTTAAACTAACTTAAGACACAGACCTAACTTCTCTTCTGTCTTGGTTGTGTATCTATCACCATGGTAACTGAAATAATAAAAACCAAACATTGCATAGTAACTTTAAGTCATTTGTTCCAGTCATCCTGGTTTAATGAGATCTATTTAAAAGACACTTGGCTTCTGAGAGGCTATTAATAAAGCGTAGGAGGTAAGACCAGGCAGTCTTCATCTATGAAGCCTCACACAGAAAGACAAGAGTTACCTGGGTTCGAGCAGTCCTTGTTCCACCCCCCATGCCATCTCCCTGACAGCATTGCTGATTTCATGTCTCGATGTGTACGCAAAGCAGACATTTAGAAAGCATCTGAAAAGAGGAGAAATACATGAAAGACTAACCTAAGGGAAGTGCAGCATGTGAGAGAGGAGCATCTACAACAGTTGTGTGTGCTTGTAGGACAAAGGGAAAAAAAAAAAAAAAAAAAAAAAAAAAAGGTGTATCACGGCTGCCAAGTCTCAGGCTTCAAGTAGAAGAGGAAGGCGTGAGGTATCAGCTACATCAAACTGTGCATTACTTACTTGTTGTAGTTCCTAGTTGCCAGCACAGCTTGGGCAATCAGCTCCTGAATATCCAAGGGCAGAAGTGGCAGGTCCCCGAGGACACGGATACACACACCATGCTTCTTCAGGCTCTCCCTACACCCAACAACAGGAGTGAGGACTACAGAAAACAGATCAGTCCCTACTGCACAAGTGCCACATTTGCCTTGTGTAACATCCACCAAATGGAAACAGCAGGCACAGCTTCAGCACAACTAAGAATCAGAAAAAGGCAAAATGACCAAATGCTTTTCAGGTGTTAACACCTGGCTTAGATTTGACCAGCCCAATCCATTCCATAAAGGGAAACTGGGGTACGAGTTCCTGAGGTACACACACAACCAGAGGATTATTAAGTGATCACAGGTTAGGCATTTATATCCTGAAGTTATATTAATCCACATGGAAAACTTAGAATACCACCACAGACTCTGGCCACCTATAACTAATTAAAAATTAAGATGACTAATGGTCACACACAGAGCAGCACAACTACTTTCTGATGTAAGGGAAGATTAACATCGGGTGGGATGGGTGGAGTGAACATCAGATGAGATAGGAAATCATCCATGCCTGCTATAGCATTATTCTGAGCAGACAGGACACCCTGTGGGATCTTACAGGTTCCTGCTGCTGTCTGCCTGGTGGTATGCACCCCCTGATGAAAGGCTGCATCAGGTACGAACCAGGGAAATTGCCTCTGAGACATGGTGTGCTGCAGCGCTCAGATAGCCCTGCCTTCCCATCTTCTACTAGCACACACACACTGTCCTCGCCCTCCCATTCTTCCAGCTGCATCCCCCTCGCTGCCTTTCAAATTCACTTCAACTGGATAAGCACCCCTTCCGTGCACCACTCAGGCGTAGGAAAATGAACACATCCACCAAGCAGCAAAGCACCATAACACCACTCCCTGCTCCTCAAATCAGTACTAGTTCTATCTACACCCAATATGTGAACTAGTTCTCCAACTCTAACAAGCGACTTAACACAGCACATGCTCATATGTAGAAGTCTCAAGCTACCGCAAAGCAAGTTGTCGAGCTAAACTCTCATCTGCCAAGAATTCTATGGCAGAATTTAAGACAAAGCTTTGATACTTCATGAAAATAAGGCGTCTAGCACTCTAGTGCTAAGCAAGAAGTTCTAATTACACTGTGCTCATCTGCAAGCTGTAGTATTCCAACTGTTTGGATGGGATCATTGCACAGTAAGCCATGCGATACAGACACAAATCGGGTGTGCCTGGGGACTGTGCATGCTCAGGAGCTGTACATCCCACCCAGGTAGGCAGAGCCCCTCAACACAAATCTCTAGCTAGAGGTGGAGAACGGCTTCCTTTATTTAATCTATTTTCACAACTTCTAACAGCCCTGTAAACACCTCTTAATCATGTTCTGCTTTAGTACCACCCTGTAGGATACAGACATGAGAGGATTCTTACTGTTCTTCCAGTAGGCGGCTAAATTTCTGTCTTGCCAGATCCATTAGTCCATCCACCTCCTCCTTGGAGCGTTTAAAGTTCTCAATACTAAAGGCATAAACAGTGACCTCCCGAATGCCCAGATTTAAGCACCACCGTAATGTCTGCAAGACGACAAAATATAATGGAAAACAAAAGTCAGGAAAACAGATTCGGTCAGACAGGTCAGCAAGACCCAGGTCTCCACTGCTAAAACCCTCCTGTCATTTCCCACTATGCTGGACTGGATCAAATGAAACAATTATCAAGAGCTGACAATGAAACCCACTAGATGAGAATTTCAGATTCATCTTAAAGAACAGGAGGAAAATATCACTGTCTAAAGATGCAAATACACAATAACTATGGGACTAATCCACCCAGGGAAAGCACTTACTGTAGATAACATTATAAATTATATAATACCTTACCCTTCAAAACATTTCCAGAGAAATTCAACCTGCTTCACAGAATTAAAAGCTTCAGATATTTTAATCAAGTGTAAAACAGAGAGGGGGGGGGGGAAACCAGCTGATGAGAATGACTCTGCAAGATTACAGGAAGAGAGAGAGGAGCTGAAGCTGGGAAATCTGATGACAAACAGCAGCTCCAAGCACAGGCCTGACTCCAGTGAAGAAGAGGAACACAATACACCAATCAAACGGTAAACAAGTCAGCTGGTGAACACAGCTCAAACTTTCAACACACAGCTGAAAGGCAGCAAACATCCTTCTCACCTGTGCCAGCTTATCAAAGCCTTGCGAATGCCCCTGCTGTCTCTCCACGTGGCACTTTTGGGCATAACGACGATTGCCATCCATGATGAAGGCAACATGCTTGGGCATTGGACCTGCCTGGAAAAGAAGGAGAAACACAACAAATCAGACAGTGAACGGCCAAGCTGGCATCTTGCATCACAGAGAGTTTAGTCATGCTGTTCCTGGCAGCACCGCCTATTTGTAGGAGAGCACTGTGTATCTCCCAGCTTCCAGGCTGGAGCTGGAAAGAGTAAGATGTTAATTACCTCTTTGCTAACCCCAATTTAGGCTCTCTAAAAAACACATCAGTGTTGACAGTTGCCTAAAGTAAAAAGCAACTTTGCCCTCCCTGTTTCTATTGCATGACAGAGAACTGTAGTACTCAGGAGAGCAAGCAGCTACCCCTCTGCAGCCACAGAGGAGGGCGTACCCTGTTTTATGCTGCCGTAATTGTAATTATTTTTTATTTCAGAGCTCAAGGGCATTTTCACAGACACAATTCACTTAAGAGAAAACAAAAAAAAAAAGTCATGAGACTTTCCCCCTGCTTAAGAGACTCGAGTATTCCTTTCCGCTGACCTCATTAAGTCTGCACAGATCCTTTTGCAAGAAGGATAGCATCACCAATCTCAAGACTCTGCTGAGCAAGGACAGAATTTTCCTGGAACTAGTGAGTTATTATTCTAATCAAGAGAAACTCAGTGTCATTTCTCAGACTCACAATTCAGCCATCTTGCTTCTCTCCCTCCTCCCATACCCTGCCTTCATCAGCAAGGGCACAAAACACAGAAGCCTGGGAGTGTAAGCTCATTATTGGCAAGGACTGCCTATAGCCCTGCTCATTTGCAAGACTAAGCTTAAGTAATTTTCCATCCTCAAATGCTGTTGAGGGATGTACATCCAGTGCCAGCATTAATATGCACCCTTGCTAGCAACGCTATATTTCTAGAGCAGAGCAGTCAGAGACCATTCCACTCTGAACCCTGACAAACCTGCCAATTCTTTACTACAGGTAACCAAATTAATTCCTTACCTTAATGATGTTGGCACAAAATCTCTCTATGATGGTCAGCTCGCCTTCTCTGATCCACGACATGTCTTACCGAAAGCTCCTTTTCTTTTTCAAGAGGAAGACGAAAATAAAGGGGTTAGAGGTACAGAAGATTCTGTCTGAGCCCAAAGCAATGCTACAAACCATCACCTTGGAAAAATAAACTTTGACTAGCTGCTTTGGAGTCCTTTTTATCATCTGTACAAGTACTTTGATGGGGGAGCTCAGAACTGAGCTCTGGAGTTTTCCAGCTGTACACCATGCGCATGGATTCTGCACTATCTGGCAGCATTAAACAAAACATTACTGCGTCTTCCAGCCAAACTAGCTGGTTAGTAAGAACAGACCCACAATTTGGGCTATCACCAGGCACGCCACAGAGTGGCGGCAGCACAAACTGACCTTCAATGCTTTTGAGTTGTTGGAAACCTTTCAAATAAAGCAACCACCTACATCCCCAGCTACCCTGCACTGGCATCACCACGGATATTTCTCTCCCTTCACGAGCAGGGAACTGTAGCCTCTGGAGCTGTAAAAATACTGGGGTTTTTAATGTTATCTGCACATTGAATGCTAATGTCTAGTCTGAGCTAACAAGATACAAGAGTTTGCTGAACTTCCACGCTAATCTCCAATTCTCTCAGCTAGGAGGCCTGGGAGATGTGGGCAAAGCAGCTGTGGAGAAAGAGATGTGGGGGCAGCCACCCTGTACACATCTAAGGACCAAAACAGGTTCAAATTACACCGATTCATTAGTTTTCTGTAGTATCGGCCTTCTCTGCCCCTTCCCTCAGGAAGGGATGACTTAAGCCACAGATGCAACCACAAAACATTACAGCAAGAAATTGCTGAACCTCGGGCTCTAAAGCTCTTAATGCTCCCCTCGAATAACGCAGGCTGAAAACGCATCCTCTTTGGCTACTAACAACAATCAATCTTTTACATACGATTTCACACAGCCATCTTAAAAAAGCAGCTTCGCAAAGAACCCCCTGGTCCGTAAGCCAGGGGCAGAGCACCAGGAAGGACACGACTCGCTCATGCCCAGCCGGCTGGGTGCAGCCAGGCGGTTCTACAGCCCCCGGCCGCTCTCTCTCCGGGAGGCAGCTCTCCCTACCGACAGCCCGGCCGCCACCCACCG